AAGCTTAATCTGAGTTTCCGATTTTATTTCTCTTTTAAAAACCAAGCTCTCAAGTCGTGATTCCACATACTTTTCAAGCACCCATCAGGCACTAATTTGGATTGACATTGTTGCTTGCAATGCGGATACTAAATCGAGCCGCAAAATTCGTAACCTTCAGAGCCTTTGTAGATCAGACGCGTAGGCACAGCTGACGGGTTGGGAGGGTCGCACAAGCATTTGGCGTGTTGCAGTGCACGCCTAACATACACGAGACACTGCGACTCACGCCAGTTAATCCATCGCCAGTGGGGAAGTGTGTTTCACGAGGAAGTAAAACATTATTCCGTGGCTATCTATTTGCACTGCCTATTCCACAGAAATCGCGGCTGACGTTGAACGTGTGACCTTTGACAAGCGAACCGATTTATCCTGATGCATTGAGTGGAGAGGACGTCCAGAGAGCAGATATGGCAATACAGTGTTGTGTTCTAGGAGGACGAGTGATAACCTAGTATCAGAGAAAAGGCAACTACTTTAGGTCATTTGGGTTAATTCCACATGAAGATGCAAGAAGTGCCAGGTGCAGTGTCACCTGAAGATGATAAGAGGTAGAATATGCAACCCCTCGCCGCTTCAAACCATCCATCCTCTCAATCTAGATTTAGTCATTAATTATTATTATTACCAATCAGACTAAGATGTACGCGCCGATCTGCATTGCCAGTGACGGCGAATTTGACAAGGTTTATTGAAAGGGACTATCAAATGAAGAGCGAAATTCGCATTCACGAAAGGAATGTCGTGCGCTTGCGAAGCACTCTCATCTGAAGTCGAAATCACCATTAAAATCGACGGCTTTTTAGACCAGCATGATCTTGTTAAATAATTACGCCTGCACTCACCCAAATCACAACCTTCTGGTATCCGTTTTGCAAAGCTCAGATAGATTTGAAACTGCGCCAGATCAGTCTGTTACGAAAAGCTGCAATATAATTGGCAGTTTTCTTCCATCCAACTTCAAATGCTAGATTCATGAATATTCCTAGTGTAGTCAATCACTCCCTTCTCCACAAGGCCAATAAGGAATGAAGGTAGGCAATTACAATGGCATCACCGCCTACAACATTGATTCTTCTTTTGATCGCGAGTCTCACTAGTCGTTTAAAAATCTGATGAAATGAGCAGTACGATGAGAGTGGCATTTCAACTCGGGTCAAATTCTTCCCGCTATTTGACGATGACTCACATAAGATGGTGCCCACAAGACACAGATTGGATAGATTTGAAACCAGATCAGGAAACACCTTACCATAGCAGAATAGCAGTTGTATCCTATCCAACTACATGTGTGCATATTTGAGTTTGTGTTCTATGTAGGTTTAGCAGCGCCATGAATTCCCAAATTGCCAATACTAATCAGAAGTGTAGGTTTTAAGCAAGGAGTACAACCTTTTTAAAATGTGAGCATTTCCACAAAGAATGGCCTGGTCCTTGGTCTTCAACCTCTTCCCCGAAAAGCCAATAAGGAATGAACGCAGGCAACAACATCGATTTGTCTTTCTACCTTCAATCTCGCTGCTTTCTAAGAAAACCGATGAAATGAGTGAGATGAGAGTGGCGTTTCAACTCGGGTCAAATTCTTACCTCCATTTGACGATGACTCACATAAGATGGTGCCCACAAGACACTCCTCTCCCGAACTTGCTAGTCGAGGAGCGAGTGTAACATTAAGCACGGTGCAGCTAATCACTCTCTTCCTGATGCTTGTTTGATTGATCCTTTGTGTCTCGCTGCCTGGTCACTTGCTTCCTGCTCTCATTGTGTCAGGTACTCATCACACACGCAATTTGCTTTTAATTTTCTGCTCATTGCATGCTTCGTGCTTATCCACAAGGCCAAATCCATGTTCCACTAAGCAGGAGCTGTGAGCAAGTGTTCCTTGAAAGGTGAAGCCTTCATTAGGACGTTTGGTTTGTGCTGTAACTGTCGTTAGCCGGTGTGATTCACATTTACACAAGTTTTCTTTTGACTTCTTTTTATGATACTGCATTTGCGTAATCCACATTGCACACGATGATTGACGCATGCCGTCAGCCTACTTTGAAAATGCAGCAAAATCACAATCCGCTGTATCAATCAAACGACCGCTCAACAATTCCATTGAGACAGAACCAAACCCAAATATATCTAACTCATACACGTATTTCTTCTTGTAGTGCCAAAGCAAATTACCCAACTCATTAGGATCCCATCATCAAAGGTGGTTGCATGACAGCTGTTCGCTATCGGAGATGTGATACTCCGTGAACGATCACTCGTTGTTAGGGTGCAACGCCTGCCAATACACTCGAGCGTCATCCCAGAACTGGATCAAACTGGCTACTTGCACCAATCTGTGTCTGCGTCCACACGATCTTCAGTTTTCAAGACAATGTGTGATTGTGTCGTCAACATTTTCAATTTTCGAACTTGACATTTCTTCTGAGGATCCGTTGTGGATTCCAATCCCATTCATTAATACCACAATACTACTGTGATAGCCAGATGCTACGATGTTTTAGCCACGCACCAGGTAAATCTACTCAACTTTTACACTTGTACACCATTGACAATTGTTGAGAAACGGAAGCGGATAATGGATGTGAACAACAGTGTCAAAGTAATTAAAACAAGAAGAAAGTGCACACACTGAGTGGCGATTTCCTTAGCCCTCGATTTCGCCGATGCAGTTAACTGGCATAATATCGGAGCAAAACAAATGGGCACTTCACGTTTACGCCCCACATGGCCAATCGAATATAACTTATTTTTGGCCACCTCACAACGCATGGTGTCACAATGACTGAGGTTCGAATCTCCTTTGTGCACGTGAATAACATTTAAGTTGCAAGCAATGAAGAAAGGTCTCGGCTTACCGATTGTGTGGGGAAGCCTCAAAGTGTCTTAAAATGTCACTCAAAGCTAGCTGTTTCAAAATATTGTCATGTTTTTTAACAGATATGTGCACATAAATGCAAAAAAGCAACATAATTGATATCTGACTTCTGACAACACCGAACACCTGAACACAGACAATCGTGCCGGTGGTGAATTGCAAGCTCCCACGAACTGAATTTTTACCAATGCTAGAAATGATCATTTGGTCTGCGGTGACTGGGAACCCAGTTAGTGTTCACTTAATTCGCCAAAATTAGCAAAATATCGTCAAAGTCATTTCGGTTTAAATGTTGACCGAAATTCGCTGTACACTCGTCAGAAAGAGTGCTCATACTTACGATGATTTTTCATAATTGGTTGATGAGAGCATACTAGAAAGGAAAGTAATCAATCATTACAAAACTATATTTCACACTTCAATAATCTGGTAAGATATTGACGGGTCGATTAAAAAATAAACTAATACACATGTTTGTTAAATCTTTTTAGATGGAATCTTCGTCCTCGCTTTCGTCGTCGTCGTCCCCAAAGTCGGTGCTGGAGTCTTCGAGTTCCGAGGCCGACAATCGATGAATCTGGATGGCCTGCATGAAGGCGAGGTTGAAGAGGGAGAAGTAGAAGAAGCAGATGAAGAGGACGGTGAGTGCCAGGACGTAGACCACACCGATGAATCGATTGAGGGCGCCCTCGTCACCGCAGGACACAGCCAGTGCCACATTGACTGCTTGGTAGGCCTCCTCACAAGGGAAGAGATCTTGGGTGAGATGGGAGAATGCCTCACCACCGTCCTTCTCCATGAAGGCAAGCAGTTGCTCGGTCACCTTGTTATACTCAGTTTCGACTTTGGCTGCCAACTTGGATTCATTACCAGCAATCTATAATTGGTAAATATACACCTGCGTGTTTGAGTCACGACCTAATAATAGTCTCACCTTTACTTGCTGCTGGACTCGTCAAACGGAATCACCGCAGACACATTTAACTCCTCCTCCTCCTCCCAATCTGGTCTCGTTTTTATTCCTTCTGTTTCGTCATGAACCTTAGGTTAAGCAGTCTACTGTTATCAGTGGTCGGGTGCTTTCACTGAAATCATTTACTGGCTATCAACCGATCAATGTCTACGGCTTGATTGTGCTTTGCTACAATGTCACACGGGTATCACACAATCCGCAATGTGCTCACCCCCCCTTTGGATAAGTGGAAGTGATAATGTTTGCGTGCGTGCGTATCCTGTTGCTTTACGTGTTTAGTGGACAGACAGCCGCCTCGCGTGATTGATGCGTGTATGATGGCCCCGGTGTCCCAATGACTCACCCCTTCTGTTATTGGCTTCTGT